ATTAAATTGCTCGCTGTCGACACGTACACTTGTTTACGTAAGTTCTGCGAGCGCGAAGTTTTATATCTTGCGATAAATTATAAAATTACGCACATTTGAAAACAATGAGATTGCGACAACGGGGATATCACGTTTCTTTATTTCCCACGCAATTAATACGTTATTTCTGATATTATATCTCTCTATAAAAAAGTTAGTATTTTAGAATTTCAATATAATTGAATAATAAAATATAAATAAGGCGATAGTTGTGGCTCTATCAATTATGTACAAAAAGTGTGAAAAAATAGAGTGTTAACTTTATGAAGATTACAATAGTATAATTACAATAATAATCATTACTTCTACACTCATTAACAAATGCTCACTTGCGTGTGGACGTGATACGAAAGCGAATCTCGTGATAAATATTAATTAGGTAATTAATTGCATATAATGCATAATATTGCAACGTTTTTAACGAGCACTCGTTACGGATCTTGCCATATCTCTGTCGATCATAAAACGTATAACACGTGTATATATATATATATAAACTATGAAACCGAAGGTAAATGTTAATTAGATAATTAACATTACAAGACAATGTTATATTTATACAAAAAAAGTTAAATCTTGCTATTAAATTCGATCGATGAATTTCAGACGCGACACAAATATAATTGTGAACAAAAAGAATATTATTTATTGTATAGTAGAGAAACAATATATTTAACACACATTGTGAAAATTCAAGGTGACAAGATTATTTCTTATTTTCTTTGAGAATTGTGTCTCTCGTTTGCGTCCAAGCAAGGTTGTATTTTTCGCGCTTATCATATTGCCTCAAGAGAATCGGCCAATAGGACAAAATGTTCGCGGTTATCGTTCCTACGGGAGAGAGAGATAATCTTCCTAAGAGATCCTGCCGGGCATCAGCCCGGTGAGAAACGAATTATTGCTACAGAGACATGCGTTATGGTCGCGCGCACCACGCTCGGTATAACCGAGGACGACGAGTGTGTTATATGCTATTTCGCCGATTCGCACACGCGCGCATACCAACACGTGGAATAAAATTTCTATATCTGGGAAGATATGAGCACACACACACACACACACACACACACATATATATATATATATACGCACACGCCCGTGTTTTCTTTGTATAGCAGCGCGGAACGTCTTCTTTCGCACTAGCGGCTTTTGACGGTCATAGAAAACACACTGACCCCGCGCGACTCCTCAGGGTTGGACACGCACTTATGCATAACTTTGCAGCGTGCGAATGCTATTTGCCGCGGCGCGATCAAGTGTGAATTTTAAAAGCATGTCGAGCACACACAGCGGGGACCTGTGACTTGACTATCTGACTCACCGTATCCGAGCAACTTAATTATACAAAAACTCGCGGACTGAGCGATCCTACTCGGGTGAAGTTACGGGGTTATCAATCGAGAACGTGTGTTTTCTGGATTTGAGAAAATATCAAAGTCAAAAGTTCATGAAAAAAAAATAAATTTTGCAGATAAAAATAACGCAAACGGAAAAAAAAATAAATTTTGTTTGTTACGTACGCACAAATGGATCGTAAAAGAAAGCGTGAGAAAACCTGACGCGTGCGGAATGCGCACGAGAGTGCACGCGGAAATGTGTGTACGCGGCGCATACACGTATATAAAATCGTACATACATATGTACGTTTTGTGCGCCGCTTCTTTCGCAGCGATCACGACGTTTCTTCTGAAACCCGCGGGCCATTCGAATGCAAAGGCCTTCGTAAAGCACGTGATGCATTGCCGGCCGATAAACGTTACTGCGGAGAGGGCCCCGCGGAGGAAACGGCTTTACGACTCTTGAAGAAACGAGCCCCCGCAATATTCCTTGTCTCGAGACGCGCGGATCGATCTGCGTGCGTGTATCTTAGTACACGCGCGCGTCTTTACGTGGAAATTTGCTTGGTGGAGGATGAGCTTTTGGTCAAAAGCCATTTTCCGAAAGTGACGCGGAATGATTACTCGTTCGATATGCGATACGATCCGATATGCGCGGGATCGAGATCATCACGAGCGATTTTATTGCTACTCCGTTGCGTTATACGCGAACTGTGTGTTTTTACTGACGAAAAAAACTACAACCAAATTTATAACTCTCACAAAATATTTATATATTATATATTATATGAAAAACTTTTTTAAATCACAATAAATTCTGTAAATTTCAAAATATCAGTAGAAAAAGAACGTGTAAGATCGGTGAGGGAGACGTTTCGTAACATCATATCGTATCAAAGATCGTGCAGCAAAAAATGCAAAATAAACTAACAATACTTCCTTGTGTAAAGAACGCAAAATAACAGGAACATAAAAATCGTCGCAAAATCTCGTAGAATGAACGGATGTAATAAATTTCAGGAGTTTCTCGCACCACATAACATTGTGTTCCGAGCAGATACGAATTTCGTAATCGAAAACCGACCGAGATCGTGATCTTGCGCACTGCCGGTTATTCGACTTTCCATTTCGTCCGATATGTCGTATGAACGTAATGCATTACCGGGCCGGATTGCTCGTCGCGTTTAAAAGCACCGCGATTATGCATGCGTACGGATATTTATGATCGCACGGATCGCGATTTTGCAACATTTTTTTTTTGGTCGGTATAAATCACACGCGGTAGACCGACGGCAAAAAAAGGGAAAGAATTAAAAATAAAAGAAGAAATATGATTTATCGATTCGTAAGTCTCGTTCTCTTCGGAACACGCGCGCGCAAGTGAGGCGTGGGACAATAAAAAAGAATCAAAGTCGAAATAAGTTGAATAATTGATTATATTTGGTAAAACATTTACAAGGTAATAAGATTTTTTTCGTTTAACGTGTGTTACATATACAGGCAAGGCATCCTCAAGAACCGTACCAACTCTACAATATATATATATATATATATATATATGTATATATATATAATCGTAGTAATGTATACTATTACTTATATAAGAAAGTATGTTCCATCAAATTATCATTATCGTTACTATCAATATTAATATTTTTTTTTTTTTTTACGGCATATTACTACTCGTATTATTTTCTTCAGGAACAAATACATATTTCATTTTTTAATCAATATACATCGACTCGCGACTACATATGAACCGTAGATCGGCTTTCGCATAGGCAAATTAAGGTACACGACGGACACTTCTTTTTTTTTTTTTTTTTTTTTTATCGAACGTAGGAAGAAACAGAACATAGCAAGTGTCCCAACGATCTCCGCGAATTCCTCTTTGTATCTCTCGTATTTCTCTTCGTCTTTCCCTTTTCCTTTTATTCCGTAATTCGGATGCGTCGTGAATCCCAAGATTTTTCCCGAAAAGAGCACCGATATTATCGACGACACGATCAACACGATTCGATCCTTATATACTTAAATTTAAAAAAGACCAACATTTTATAATACAGTAATTTCTTTCCGCGCGATATAAATCTTTCCGATATTACAAACTCGCAAATCATATAAACAAACAAACAAATTGTCGAGCCACAAATAGTATTAATCGTTGATAGATTACATAGCAAACGTTATTGCTACGCGGATCCGATGTGGAGGGAAAAACATGTACTTTGCAAACCGGAGCTCGGTCCTCGTGAGTTATGTGACTATAGAGATCTGAGGTGGACTACGATATAATGTATACAATGCTAGCGATAAGATATGAGCTGTCAATAACTGTTTATATTCGTGAAAACATTGTGTTTACGCCTGCATGAAATTAACGAGACGGGGGGATAGAAAGGGCAAAGGGTGATTGAGCTGAGACTATTGACGTCGTGCGTGACAGAAGCATGATCGTGACGACGACTGACAATTACACGGTAGAGCAACGGTATTACTATTATAGACTATTGCACTGTGTCGATTAGAGAGACGTATTCGATTATTACGATACATTCGGAATGATGTGCGTGGTGTATGTACCACATCGAGTAAGTATTCGAGTTTGAAGTGATTGAAGAGATAAGTCGAAGAATTAGTTCCAATTGATGATACACTTTATTTTCTTTACTTTGTCACTAAAATGTCGCAAACATTGCGAGTTTGAGACGTAGAGTGCGCCGCAGCAATTTCCTCGCACACGGAAAAGGAAAAAGGAAGTACGACTTTTTCGTGTCGATCAGTAAAAGTCGTGATTCCTATACAATCTTTAATCAGCGCACGTTTATCATCGCACTTTCCACATTTCTTTCTCTTTCTTTCTTTCTTTCTATCTCTTTCTCTCTCTCTTTCTCTCTCTCTCTCACACATAAACACACACACACACATTCGTTTTTAATAAAACTTTTCCTCTAGGTTTTCTTTATTCAATTTTTCCCTATGTACCTATATTCTATTTCACGAGAGAATTTATTTCGAGGGTCTTCGGTAGAGAGAAAACATAGAAACATTTAGTAACACATATATACATGTACGCTTAAAATTATCAAAGAATGAAGAGTTGATACATTTCTTTTTATTTAAGCTTTGTTTTACTCATTCGATTCTGCACGTGTACACGATATATCAAATCAACACAAATTTCGCAAAAGTCAATTTAATAATAACACACATGTACGAAGTTTGCAGTCAGGATGAATTTTTTTTATTAGTAATATTCGTATGATAATGTAAAATACAAATGCTAATTCAAAAAAATAGCATATAATAACAATAATAATAATAATAATAATAAAGAGAATATATGACGCACGTCAGAATAGATTTATAATGAAAAAGAAAAAAATTATTCTCTCGTAAAACAGCATATTTCTCTGTTTGTTTTTCTATCATTGGAATGTTCCACGTTTGGAGTTTGACGGTAACAGCAGTCAGCAAACGTTCGCATAAAAGTACTTTACATTTCAATACATGTATATAAATGTATATATCTGAAATTTATATTATATATATATTTATATATAATAGTATAAATATATAAATATATACATATATATAAATATTTATATATTTTATAATGTATAAGAAGTATATATAATACTTAAAGATATATATACTCCGTTTTTATAATGTAATTACTTATGCAAATTTAAGTTCCGTAATCTATATATATATATGTATGTGCAATTCGACAATGTGTATGTACAAAACAACGAGATAAAAGAGACAAAAGTAGACAAACAAGCTTGAACTTTCTGTAAAAATGATGACGGAGAAACAGAGCGAAACTATTTTGCGAGGAATACATACGCTTTACTTTATTGAATTTTCAAACTCCAATTAATAATATATCAATGAGACAATGACAATAAAATGATAATTAATAATAATAATAAAAATATAATGTAATAATATATCAGAAATATAATATATAATTATAATGGGAATATTAATAGTCTAAAACACGAATGATCGATAAACTTTTCGTACTTGGATACGTAACATTTATCACGTGTTTTACACGCGCGATATTGTACATTGATCCTCGTACGATCAACTAACGAAAATAAGTTCACATCTTTGCGTGAGAAATCTAGCCTAAAAACCAAAAAAAAAACCAAAAAAAAAAAAAAAAAAAAAAAAAAACGAAATGAAAAATAAAGACAAGAAGAAATTCGACTGTTGCGTAGCGCTTTATACATACAGTAGCGATAATAATAAGTGTTCTTTGGTAACACAGTGATACGTCCGGAGACCACAAATACGGTTGTAACGTATTGTCCGATCGTGACAAGATGGTCCCGAAATTATATTCTCGATCACTACGCTGCTCCAGGTCGCTGCTCTGGTCTGACTATGTGTATTACGGACCAGAATAATAATTGTACACTTATCATTAGTTCAATAGTTAAATTACTTACTTCGTCTCTTCTGACATGTGTCGCCAATAAAAAAATCCATCTTGTCCAGCGACCCTATACGTACTATATACAATTGTATAATGCGCGAAAGCATTTTTTATATATCTATGTACAATACATCTATATTTCCGGATTGTTTCGTAGTCATTTGCTTCAAAAGTGGCAAGAAAAGTGGTCAAGTTTTACAATCTTTGTCTCTCTCTATATCTCGTAAAAATCGTGTTATTTTTATATTATCGTTTCATATCCTAAATCAAAGTTTTATTTGAGAATTCTACTACGTAATGCGCGCCGCTCTCTCGAAGTAAATGACACGATTTTCGTCGCGCAAAATTAATAGCGCTCTCTGTGAAGAAATATCGATAGTCTCGTGCGTGCGTGGGATGCATGCGCACGAGAGTATCATCTAGTTGCGTCATATATCATTCATATTATATGTACATGTACATAACAACAGACAGATTAGCGAAATTAGCATCCCGTAAGAACACGCGACGGCTTCTTGTCGTCCGTCATCGAAACGGTGAGTATAGTTGTAGAGCTCTATATGGAGCTCACGAGCGAGGTTTTCTCCGAAGCTTACGTATCTCAATTAGGAGAAAATGCAAGCGCGTTCCCCGTGACCGAAAAGAAGAAAACGTTTCCGGGATTTTACCTGCGTTAGAGGATACTATTATGTATGCTTTCCAAAATGACTCGTCATCTCATTCGTTCCTCGTGACTTCTTTCTTGAGACACACACGCGTCCATACACACACACACACACACACACACATACACAATCCATTAAACTTATTAATAATTAAGTAAATAACCTTGTAGATCTTTTTGTTTTATATACACCCTGTTCAAGTAAGTTTCTTAAAATCTAAACTTACGTTGTTAGAAATGTCGCGTCACACGTGTAAATGCGCGCAACTTATTTAATCTATGTGAATGGAATTTTGCGTATTCTTGGCGCCTGTAGACAAATTGCAACAACATTGAAATCCCATAAGCATCAGTTTTTTTGTTTTTTTGTTTTTTGTTTTTTTTCAAACAATAAGTATCATTCTCTCGTTTTTTGTAGCTTCTGCAAGGAAGAATTGTTTCTTGTTATAAGACAGTTGAATTCTCTCGATCGATGTCGCACACTCGCTTTGTGTCAGATCGACTCGATCCGTTTTGGTTCGCGCAAGTGGGCCACTTCACGGCAGAGGATAAGTTCGCACGAGGAAAACCACCTTGCCGACAGAGACAGCCAGATGCGAAGATCATTAATGAAGAAAATCATCAACGAGTTTCTCCAATGTTTATACAGGCGCTACGTATCAGTACTCGCATCATTTCCCTGCAGATCGTTGTAACTATGAGCCGAGTTGCTGATGAACGCTGGCCATGTAAATGTAGCTCTATGGTTGCTGGAGCAACAGTTGCTCCAGCTCGTCAGCAGATCTCAGTAGAAAAGCGGCGGACTCCCGATACCCTGTTATCAGTTGTCTCACCGCGGTCATTTCTGTAGCGTTTAGCTTATGACTCAGCAACGGCTTCGTGTTCTTCATGCTGAGATCCGTCGGTCCTGCAAGGATAAGCGCGCGTTTCAAAATCGCGAGTTTCAAGCTTTACTAGCGCAATTCGCCAAAACAATAGCAGTTGCATCGCTTAACAATACATACTGATCGTAAACATAAAAAAAAGCAAGCAGATATTTTATAAAAATTAATTTGTTGGAAAAAATTGGCAAAAACACTATTTTAAACTTGAAATATATACACTGAGAAAAAATTAAAAAATCTTGTTTAATCCAACTATTTGCGACGGTCAAAAGTTATCAGTCGAATATATTATATTCGTTAATCTTAAGGAAATATTATACTATTTTAACTTTTACAGGATTGAATTAAAAACAGTAACAAGTACTTCGAATAACACTCGGCTGCGAATTAAACATATTTTATTGACATCTCACAATATTTTTTTCAGTGTATATATAAATATCGACTAATTTAAAACTGATTGCTAAGAGGGGATGCAACTCAACAAAATAGCGCGAAAGCGAACTTATAAAAACACCAATAACCAATATTACTTTGTGTACCGTTGCTCAGTAGGCCCGACGTGAAACTTTGGGTCGGATACAATCCAGACGAGAGGGTCGGCGGTACCGTTGTCGGTCCGGCACGTTGGAACGCCTGGCTGAAGTTGGGTCTGTACATCGCCGTTGGTGCACCGCCACTGGCGACACCATTTACCGTCGACGAACTGACTATCGTTGCCTGACTGAAAAACGAGAATGAGATACGCGTTAACGATAAAGGCCGCCGCTGATTAGCGCTCCACGTTCCGTGTGCCCATTCGACGAGGCGTTCAGTGAATTTTTATACCGTGACCTTTGACCGAAGTCGAGGTCTTATCTAGAAACTCGGCCGATTCAACGACGGAAATCACGAAACCGATAATGATAATCGGTTACGGTAATTCAGACAAAAAAACAAGTTAATTGTAAATGATACATTCAAAGTGACATCATGGCAAATTTCTTAAAGAAAAAGACGCAGATAATTAAAATAATTATCCGCGTATTATTATTAATCTGAGCGAAATTTGTGATTTGTAAAAAAAAACTTAAATTTTGCTGCTTTATATCGGAATCGAAGCCGGCCTTGATGCTAACGGTTGGTTAATGAAGAAACGGATAAGATGCGGCATATCGTTGGCTTTATTACGTCGCCAGTGAGAAAACACGGATTTCATCCGTCGCGCCTTCGTAACTAGTTCATCGTACTGACCTCATGAGACTCTTGTTGTCTGCCGGCGTAAGCAACTTCGACGCGGATGCGAGCGACAGTGGTGTAGAGGAAAGGGTGCTGCTCGGTAAGTTTGCCAAACTGGTTAGTGGTGCCAGGGATGTTAGTGATGCTGGAGGTGTGTCTTCCCTCTTGATCGGAAGTGATTTAACTGGCGTGCTCGAGAAGTGCTCCAAACTTGATCGAACGTCCGTTTGCTGTAACCGATAAATAATAACATTGTTGCTATAAAATAAACTATTACATCGATCATAACATTGTTTTTTAATCTTTAATAATTTGATAACATGTGTATAAATCACTACAGTATACAAAATATTGCTGGAAACTTGCAGGAATATTATTTTTGCAAAATTGGATTATTACATACAATATTTCCTGAAAGATCGTCACAATATTGATATGTTCCCGCTCTCATATATTCTTGCAACGTCAATATAATATTCACAAAAATCAATTTTTGTGTACTTGTCAATATATTTATTTATTTATTTTTTTATTTTTTTTTTTTTATAAAAGATTAGTCTCTGAAATGCTCCACATTAAGTTGCAAGAAAACTCTCTAAATGTTATGTCGGATACTGACAGTTTGAAACCATATTTTTCGTTTCTTGAATTGTATAAATCTAAAGTTTAGACTTTAATTTTATAAACATGTTATTCGACCTATTGCGTACTTTTGTTCTTTGATCATATAGTGGGGGTTATCTCTATATATTTACTTGTTGTCAAGTTTCCTTTCAGTACACAGTTTTGTATTTCTTACAATTTACATCATTTAATATCTTGTGGTGATGTTGTGAAATTTTATTTTGTTATTAATTTAGTGAGTTTATTTATTTTGCTATATTTTTTAATTTGTATATAATAATGTATGATTTGCGCTAATTAATTTATTATTCTTATTAGATGTAATAATTTACACTGAGGAAGGTCCAAATTTGGATCGAAACGTTTGGTCTATTGAATAAAGAATTCTTTTTATACATCTTCATCTTGTATATACTGCCTGTATCGGCCTTTTTTAATTACTTTCAAAAAATTTATTTTACTTTCAATATATTTATAGTTTAGACACAGACGAAAGAATATATCTGCAATATTTATGACATATACAATCTATGTGGTATAATAGTTCAACAATGTTATGCAATGTAATTACAATTACAATATTTCTACAATATGTTTGCAATATTTCTAATATAAATAGCAACATTGAAATATTTATGCAATTTATTTTAGCAATATTTCATACTGTAGTCGAACGTTAAATAATGAAGATTATACGTGTCAAATATTTTTTTAAGCAAGTTTCAAAGAATACTATTTCTTCAATTTTGACGCGTGTTAGATTATCCACTAAAAGATTACGTTAAAATAACTGTCAAGATCAAATTTCACCGAGGCGGTATATCTTCGTTGAAGAATAACAACATATCGGGTCGGTCATACTTATTCCGTGTCAGCAAAATTTTTGTTTCGATATAGTAGTAGTGTAAACCAGATAATTAATACGATTGTTTTATTGGTTATCAATAATTATTGGGTATGTGGGAAGCGCTCCTCCCTTCACGCGAGAAATATTTATTCCTCTCCGTAATTGTATATTCAGATATTAAAGAGTAACGGTGTGTGAAGTAAAACGCGATAAATCAATTTATAATACCTGTACTTCGTATCGGGTTATCTTATGACCCACCGGTAGATTCTTTTTCCTCATGATTGTAACACACGCAAATTAGGGAACTTTCGTGCAAGCACGTGACTAATTAGAATTAGCAACAACACGAACACTTAACCACCTCACAAATCATCGATCGTCAACCCCGCTGTCACTCCGACACGAGCTGCTAATCGAGCCGCTATTATATCATTTATCCGCGATCTCGTTATCAACACGATCTCGATCATCCAGCGCGTGATCGTATTCACCGCTATGAGCAACGGAGCGGAACAAAGCACGCCAGGAGTTTCTTCACTTCGACTTCCTCTTCTGCTTCTTCACTCCGATCTTCTTCCACTTCGGCGTTCCCCACCCGGTCTACCGGCGACGTATCGATACGATAACAATAACGTCCGCGTTCAGAAAAGCGAAGGCGTTTCTCAACTGGCTGACGGGATGAGGAGGAAAAAGGAGAAGCGAGGAGAGGGTGAGGAAAAAGCGGGTTGACACGAGAAACGAACACCGGGAATGAGGAGCAGTGAGGACGTTCGGATGCGCCGGGACGAAACGACGAGGCATGAGTAAGTCCACAGGAGGAAATTAATTCGTGGAAATGAAGAGAAAGGAGATATCAGAAGAGTAGGAAGAGAAGGCAAGAAGAGGACTACGGTGAACGTCGAGAGGTGGTGATGTGCGTCTCCGGCCACAGAAAACGGATGACTTGCTCAGTGAAGGAAGATAGAATTTACGAAAGAAAGAAAGTGAAAGAGAGAGAAAGAAAGAGACGCACACACAGAGGGTTAGAGCGGAGAAGAAGAGAAGGAGGATAAAAAGGAGGAGGTGAACCAGAAGAAGAGCCGAGAGGGATTGCGAGGAGCGCGGGAAAGAGGGTGTTCCAAGCACGGCGAGAGCACGGAGGAATGAAATCTTGAAGCGGCGTAGAACGGATGTAGGGAAGTGTTTTTATGAAAGGCCAGCAGTGTGCGTTGACGTCAATTATATAGGTGGCCACGAGAAGAGCAGATAGCCGCCTCGTCGACGCACGGACCGCGGCATACGTACATATATATGAGAAGAGGTCTTCTCCTTAATGGGTTAGGTTTTAGGTCGCCGGAGAGGTTATCGGGTCTCTCTCTCCGTTTCTCCGTCTCTTTCTCGGACAGGGATTTTCAAAGTAGATAAGTCGGAGAATCGGCGCGTGGAGAGAGGAAACCTGTGTGTGCGCGTTTCATCTTCTCGTTTGCGAGAAGTAGCAAAGTAGGGAGCGACGAAGGAAGAAGAGAGAGAGAGAGAGAGAGAGAAAGAGAGAGAGAGAGAAAGAGAGAGAGAGAGAAAGAGAGAGAGAGAGAGAGAGAAAGAGAGAGAGAGAAAGAG